TTTCTTCAAGTATTGTTCGTCATTTATCATTACAAATAGCTATTCTAATTTATGAACATAATCTTTATCAATCATTTGATGAGATTTTTTTTTCACATATTATTAAACTTTTTTCTCCAGATCCAAATCTTTATGTACGTAATACTCTTGCACAATTTTTAGCACTATATATTTCAAAACATGATCAATATGAATTACTTAATCAAATTCAAAAACAATCTCTAAATTCAGATCTTATTTATAATATTTTAATATTATTTGATCAAGATAAACAACAATTATTAATAAAACAATTGAATATCTATGACAATCTATCAGATAGTACAGCAATACGTGCTTTTGTATTAAAAACAGCTCGATACATAATCAATGAAGATCATCTTGTATTTTATTTAAATCGTATTCTGGAAAAATCTTTATCCGACTATGTTTATATGCTGTTAACAATTATTTCATCTCGTTATGAATATCATCAATCGATTAATAAATTAATTGCTTGCCTCAATGCTCTATTTCTTTATATAAAAGAAACAGACATTGAAGAAATTGATGAAAATGAACAAAATAGTAAGTTCCTTCTATGTATTAGTTTTATACCTCTAAGGATACTTTCAGGATATGAATTTCAAAATTTTTCAATTTGCTAAAAAAACTCAATTTTCTATCTTGTTGTTTCAAAATATTTCATCTTTGCGTTTAATCTATTTGTAGTAATGTCACTTTTAGCCTATGATCATGTTAGAGTCGTATGACAAATTTCAAAAGGGTGTTGTGTGTCTTTGATTAGTTCGTCATAGTCATTTGCTCTTCTCTCTCTTTCTCTCAGTCCAGCATAGAAGTAAAAATAGGAGTTTACTTTCAATCGATATGTTGTTTTTCTCTAAACCTATGAAACTTTAAAAGAAAGAAAAAAAAAATATCAGTATTTATAAGAAAATCAAAATTGAATTTTTGCGTTGCATTTTTCTCAAAATAGGATTTTATACAAAAAAGATTTGTTTTCACATATACTAGACACTGTTTAACATGGGCGTCTATTTATGTCGAAAAATATTGCTCTGGTGATTTTTGGTCGTTTTCATAAAATTTTGTTCTAGTACAAAAAAAATAAGCGTTTTTTAGGTATGTTTAATATTTTGACATTCTTATTGGAATGGACAAATAATATAAGAAAAAAAAATGTCCATCCTAAATAGTTTTCAGCACCTACAGAAAAACAAACGCAAGAGTCATTGTGACTCAGATCTATTTGTTCTACAAAATAAAATGTTTATCATATAGTTTTAGTTAATGAAAAAGATGAATTTAATGAATTAACAGAATCTATATGTTGTCAATTATATGAAAGAAATATTCAATCAATAGATCTTGCATCAATTGTTCTTGATACAATTCAACCATTAATAAATAATTCAAATTCATTTATTTATAAACTTGATTTTTATTCATCAACAATTATAATAATGTTAACTAAAGAAAATAATCATGATAAAAATTTATCACAACTTATAAATTGCTTTGAAAAATTACAAGAATTTAATTTATTAATAGATAATAATAATAGTCTATATGATATTATAATTAATCATATAAAAAATAAAAAGAGAATAACAATTGTTTATCAATCATTATTTAATTTATTAGTCAATACAACAAATAAAAAAAATATTTTTGAATCAATTTATTCTATTCTAGAAAGAATTCTTTTTCAAGATAATGATAAATTATTACAATGGGATAATCAAGATTGTGTTTTTCATTTTTTAATTCAATTAATAAAAATTTTTCATCATGATCAATATCCTTCATGGTTTACAAATGAATTTCTTCAATCTATTATTGAAAAATATGTTCATAATAATAATAATGAATATATTCAAGCAAGTCTTATTGATTTTCTTGCAATACTTATTCAATATGATTTAATTTCACCATTAGATAATTATCTTACAACAAATTTTATTCAACTAACACATTATTCTCTTGGTGATGTTGTTCGTTGTTCACTTGCACATGCATGGTATATTATTTTAACTACAGCAACTGATAAAAATGTCAATGAAACTAAAGAAATTAATTATCATTTTTCTTTTGGATTGAATACAAATTTTGATTCATTATTAACAATTGTTATTAATCAAATACCTTTATTAATTGGAGATGGTGGTCATGAAACCGAAATTCAATGTCTTCGTTTAATTGAATTTATTGGAAA